TTTCTTTTTCGGAGGCAGACATATTCAAAAGACCCACATTGTTTCATTGTTCACCACAGGCGGATCCTCCTATTTGAGTGCACGTAGTCTCAGGCGCTGTCTCGCTGCAGGGCACTAGTTTCTTCTGGTATTGAGGTTAAGCATTTGGAACTGACGTGAAATCGTTGCGAAATAACGACGCTAGGCAATAAATGCACAATAGCGTTAGAGCATACAGATTCCACTTCGGAATCACCAGACAGCAATCTACAAATTATTGTTAAAAATTTGAGACCAAAGCTTTCACTGTCAGAAGTGCTTTAACAATAATGCCAAAAAGCATTTGCAGTAGCCTAATAGTATCAATGCTCAGCTTACTTTATTTGTGAGGATTTTTTTGAATACATAAACAATTTTAGCAGTTAAATTGCTGTAATATGTACATATTGAAGGTCATATTTTCAGTAAAATCCTTACTGCTTTCAGTTAAAAAACTTGTTGATTGTTTTATGTACATGTAGGTCAAAATGAAACATACATTTAAAGCAGCATAGGGCCGTTCATAGTAATAATCTCGTTTCTTGTACACCTGAATAGTTCATCTTATACATCATCTGTTTGCCGAGTATTCTGGTGAATGAGTGCAAGCATGCGAACTTTCTTGCCATTCAGCATGATCCTCCTTATCCCGCCCACTTATGAAACGAAGCTTACGCTGCAATGAGTTCACGAGGTAGATTTTATGGTATCGGTAGCGTCCTCAAACTTATTGTTGGTGTCGTTGTCAATAGTTTTCTTCTACCGCGGATAGTGACCGAGCTATGGATAGCATCGATAGCATTTCTGATAGTTCTGAGTCACTACATATTATACTAATGAAAAGAATCTATCAAATAAAACACTTCCAGTAGCATCTCTTTTACACCTGTATGAGTGAGTGAGCGAAACAATTTTATAGACGATCCGGCATAAAGGGGGAAGGGGTAGGGTGATTAAAGCGAGACACTAGCGTGCTTGTTATCGGGGCTTGGCACACAGAAGAGAACTGGGAGTGGGGTTCCTAATTCACAGAAACATAGCTGGCAACATAGAGGAATACTATAGCATTATGAAAGGGTGGTAGGTATTGTAATTAAACTGAATAAAAGATACAAGTTGAAGGTAGTACAGGCATACGCGCCTACATCCAGCCATGATGACGCTTCAGTTGAAAGCTTCTATGAAGACGTCGAATCGGCAATGAGTAAGGTAAAAACACAGTATACTAGAGTGATGGGCGACTTTAATGCAAAGGTAGGGAAAAAGCAGGCTGGAGACCAGGCAGTAGGAGATTATGGCATCGGCACTAGAAACGCCCGAGGAGAGCTACTAGTAGAATTCGCAGAACGCAATAATTTGCAGATTTTCAATACCTTCTACCGAAAACGAGAAAACCGCAAGTGGACATGGAAGAGCCCTAATGGCGAAAATAAGAACGAAATAGACTTTATAATGACTGCACACCCAGGAATCGTGAACGATGTGGAAGTGGTTGGCAAGGTACGATGCAGTGACCATAGAATGGTACGGTCTCGAATTCGCCTAGACTTGAAGAAGGAACGACAGAAACTAATACGCAAGAAGCCAATCAATGAGCTAGCACTGAGAGAGAAAGTACAGGAATTCAAAGTGTCGCTGCAGAACAGGTACTCGGCTTTTAGTTAGGAAACCGAACCTTAGCGTAGATACAATGAATGATAATCTGACGAGTATCATTACGGAGTGTGCAGTGGAAGTTGGAGGCAGGGTAGTTAGACAGGACACTGGCAAGCTTTCCCAGGAAACGAAGAACCTGATTAAGAAGCGTCAAATCATGAAAGTCTCAAGTACAACAGAAAAAATAGAACTGGCAGAGCTTTCGAAGTTGATTAATAGGCGTAAGGTATGCGATGTAAGAAGGTATAACATAGAGAGAATTGAACACGCTCTGAAAAAACGGAGGAAGCGTCAAAGAAGTGAAGAGGAAACTTGGGATATGCAAAAATCGAATGTATGCACTAAGGGACAAAGGAGGCAAAATACGAACCAATATGCATAGGATAGTTAAAATAGCGGAGGAGTTTTACGGAGATCTGTACAGTAGCCGGGACAACCACGACGTTAATACTATAAAAGCTAGCAGTAACCCAAATGACACCCCACCAATAATGATAGAAGAAGTCAGAAAAGCTTTGGAGAGCATGCAAAGAGGCAAAGCTGCTGGTGAGGATCAGGTAACATCAGATCTGCTTCAAGATGGAGGACAAATTATGTTAGAAAAACTAGCCACCCTGTTTACCAGGTGTCTCCTGACGGGAAGGGTACCAGAGTCTTGAAAGAACGCTAACATCATCGTAATACATAAGGAAGGAGATGACAAGGACTTGAAGAATTACAGGCCGATTAGCTTGCGCTCTGTAGTATACAAGCTATTTACAAAGGTAATTGCTAACAGAGTAAAGAAAACATTGAAATTCAATCAACCAAAGGAACAAGCAGGATTTCGAACAGGCTACTCAACAATCGACCACATTCATACTATCAATCAGGTAATAGAGAAATGCTCAGAATATAATGATTGATATGTGGGGTTTAACGTCCCAAAACCACCATATGATTATGAGAGACGCCGTAGTGGAGGGCTCCGGAAATTTCGACCACCTGGGGTTCTTTAACGTGCACCCAAATCTGAGCACACGGGCCTACAACATTTCCGCCTCCATCGGAAATGCAGCCGCCGCAGCCGGGATTGCTCAGAATATAACCAACCACTATACATAGCCTTCATAGATTACGAGAAGGCGTTTGATTCAATAGAAATATCAGCCGTCATGCAGACACTGCGGAATCAGGGCGTCCATGAAGTATATGTAAACATCCTGGAAGAAATCTACAGGGGATCAACTGCTACCATAGTGCTTCATAAAGAAAGCAACAGAATACCAATCAAGAAGGGTGTAAGGCAGGGGGACACAATCTCCCCAATGCTAATTACCGCGTGCTTACAGGAGGTTTTCAGAAGCCTAGAATGGGAACAGTTAGGGATAAGAGATAACGGAGAGTACCTTAGTAACCTGCGCTTCGCCGATGACATTGCATGGCTGAGTAAGTCAGGGGACGAATTGCAAGTCATGATTACGGAGTTAGACAAGGAGAGCAGAAAGATGGGTCCTTAAATGAATCTGCAGAAAACCAAAGTAATGTACAACAACCTCAGAAAAGAGCAGCGCTTCGAGATAGGTAACTAGTGCACTTGAAGTTGTAAAAGATTATGTCTACTTAGGGCAGGTAATAACCGCAGAGCCTAACCACGAGATTGAAGTAACTAGAAGAATAAGAATGGGGTGGAGCACATTCGGCAAGCACTCTCAAATTATGACAGGTAGATTGCCACTATCCCTCAAGAGGAAAGTATATAACAGCTGTATCTTGCCGGTACTTAGCTACGGAGCAGAAACCTGGAGACTTACAAAGAGGGTTCTGCTTAAATTGAGGACGACGCAGCGAGCAATGGAAAGAAAAATGGTAGGTGTAACCTTAAGAGACAAGAAGAGAGAAGAGTGAATTAGGGGACAAACGGGGGTTAAGGATATCATGGTTGAAATAAAGAGGAAATGGACATGGGCCGGGCATGTAGCGCGTAGACAGGATAACCGCTGGTCATTAAGGGTAACTAACTGGATTCCCAGAGAAGGGAAGCGGGTTAGGGGGAGACAGAAGGTTAGGTGGGCAGATGAGATTAAGATGTTTGCGGGTATAAATTGGCAGCAGCAAGCACAGGACCGGGTTAACTGGCGGAACATGGGAGAGGCCTTTGTCCTGCAGTGGACGTAGTCAGGCTGATGATGATGATGATGACTAGCGTGCTCGGACGTCCCAGAGCAGCAACCTGTATGAAATTATTTTTGCCCGAGTGTCCTGTAGGTTTTACAGTGATACCGTTGCAAATAATTTTTCCGCAGCCATGTCACTGGGAGTCAGTCGCACCTAAAGAACAAGGCTTTTATTCGATGTTGTAGCCCATTAATTGTAGAACAATAGGTCAGGGTTAGTATAGGATTAACCGGATATTTAGAATAACCATATTGCAATGTGCGCAAAACTGCATCTAAGAGAAATTATATGCTGTGTTAGATCGTAGTTATGCATGTAAGTAAGAGAAGTGAATTAAATGAAACCTTTAGGTTGCCATTTCACTGCAGATGGAACGCACTGGTTGTTGCTATTATTAACGTGATTTTTGCATTGTTTGCTGTTTTTGATACTCGTTCTTACACTGAGGCTCTAGTCGCTCTTTTCGAAGCCAATCCACGCTCACTGTCCCTCACGCGTGACGGTTTAAAAGTGTTCACTCGCGTAAAGCATTGAAAAATTTACTATCACCACGTGGTTTAATCAAAGCGCAAGTTAGTTGTTAGCATCTTCTTCAACAAAAAAAAACACAAAACAGTATCGATAATTCTGTCATTGCCTGCAAACATGGCTGACAATTTGCTAGGGTGAACCAAGCAAGAGGGCATTTCGACGTCTTGACAAGCGCAACTTTTCTTTTAAGGCTGCAACCTATTGATTCAGTGGTGACTGAAATTGATTGGCTGCTGCTGCAAGTGAACTTGCCTTTAAGAATACAAGTCCACTTGTCAAAACATGAGCTCCAGCACAAGCACCATGTTTACGAATGTTCTATCGCAAGCAGCTAACTTACACATCGTGCCTTCTTTTTTATTCTTCTATTGTGGTTATTCAGGACAGCAATATAATGGCGATTGCCCGAACAATATTCAGTACTCCGTGACTGATAGCTGATGCTGCAATTACATTTCGCTTCGGTTAATTTGGCTATGTTTAACCCACTGCGTTATATTTTTTACAATATGAAAGGCCTAGTTTTTAACAACCTCACCCAATGTAATCTAACCACAATAGGTTCAGCAGTTCACGCTTCAAATTGGTTATATACATAAGCCCACCTTTCCACTCAACTCTACGATGTATCCACTCACCGGGGTTCAAGAAGGGACTCCGTACAGCACTACGTCTGCGTGTTGCACCACAAGTGAGACCTCGTGGAAGATGAGACCTGCGAAGGAAACGTTAGGGGAAAAACAAAGTAACCCGCTGTCAAGGGCAATACAGGAAGGTAGCTGGCATTGAAGATGAGCTCACGTATTCGATCAAGGAAAAGTCTCAGACACCGATTTAACGCCTGATCGACCAGCAGCTGCGAACATTTGTAAAGCTGATGTTATTTGTTAGCGCCATCCTGGGACACAGAAGGATGTTGCTCACATGCCAAATAAGCGAGTCGAGCGCGTTGTTTTGTTTCGTGTCAATACCTGCAGAACTGAACAGGAACAATACGCGTCTGGCAGGTCATTGGAGGACCTCTCTTTGGGTCATTCCGCGCCTAGGTGTAGGGCAATGAGTCCCCGAGTTCTGGGGCTATGAGTGCCTGAACTCTGAACGACCCAAGTCGGTCCTCGAGGCTGAATTTGAGCAGCGTTGTCTTCCGACGCACACTGTTCGAGGGTGCTTTCTCATTTAGAAGCACATCTTTGTCTTACTCCCGTAAGAAATGTACAAGGATTGCGCTGGCTCATTAAATTTGACTTTTCTTTTTACGAATAAATGTCTGGCTAACACATGTTCAAGATCACAGAGTTTGGAAACAGTAATGTGTAAAGCCTGGTTTTGTGGCCACTTCATTTCAGTAACCAGTTCACGCACTGCTACTGGTACGGAGAGCTGAGTGTCTACACTCAACGGAGCTTTACATTAAATAGCACGGGCTTTATATTTTGCAGCACCTGTTGTTCCAGCATTCATAAAAGTAACTTGACTTATAGGAAGAAACATAGCCATATTCCATGAAAAACATGTGGCCAAAAGTGCCGAGGAAGACACACACCTGTTAGAATAATAATTTATATCAGGTTCCTCTGTCCAGTAGACATTGGCAACACTCTGTCCTATGTACTCCTAGTTTCTGGTTACGTTTATGCTAGGCACAAAAGAACTACGCATTACCAATAAGTCTATCCAGCCAGTGGTACTAAAAATTCTGTCGCGCGTTAGTACTTTGTTATCTTACGCAACTCAAAAGCTCCAAACATCCCGCACCCCAGAAACGAATGAACAGCACCCAGGGGCGTACCAACTCTTTCGCGAGCGGGTGTGTGTGTGGGGGGGGGGCATTCATAACTCACTGGACAGCTGATATATATATATATATATATATATACATATATATATATATATATATATATATATATATATATATATATATATATATATATATATATATATATATAGGCAGGCATGGTGGTTGAGTGGCCGTAGCGTTGCATATAGTCTAGTAGATCCTCCGTGAGCGGTCACAACGTGGTTTATTTCGACGTTTCGGCCTAGAGTCTGGCCTTCAAAGGCCAGACTCTAGGCCGAAACGTCGAAATAAACCACGTTGCCTTGATGACGATCGACAGAGCAGTTGAAGGAAATGGTTTCGAATACCATAAAAGACTTTGTAAAAGAAGACAAAATCAGCGAGAGATCTATACGGTCCTTAATCCCCCTTAGCTCCCATCCCAGGGCGATTTTATATCCTGCCAAAAATACACAAAGTAAATAATCCTGGCCGACCTATTGTTTCCGCTATTGACACCGTCACTGAAACAGTGTCTGGAGTCACTGATTTCGGCCTAGAGTCTGGCCTTCAAAGGCCAGACTCTAGGCCGAAACGTCGAAATAAACCACGTTGTGACCGCTCACGGAGGATCTACTAGACTATATATATATATATATATATATATATATATATATAAGAGAGATCTAACAGACAGTAATGTCAAGGAATGTACAGGGGAAGTTATTAGAACCAATGGAATGTAAATAAGAAGACAGAAAAGTGGTTGAAAAAATAACCAGCATCGAACGCGTTACTCGAAGGTCGTAGGCTCGATTCCTGCTCACGGCTGGTTATCTTTTCACCTACTTTTCTTTCTTGTTATTTACATTCCGTTGGTTCTAATAACTTCCCCTGTACATTCCTTGGCATTACTGTCTGTTAGATCTTATATATATATATATATATATATATATATATATATATATATATATATAGACAAATGAAATGCAATCCTAACAAATGCTTCTTTAGACCTAACACGTGTCGTCATCGACCATTACAAAGAATCCTCCAAAGCATTAGTTACCACTGAGCGACAACTACGCGCCTCGCATCCGATGAGTACTTCAGAGATCAGGGCCCTCAACGAATACGAACAAAGTAAATACGCTGAAATCCACTCAAAAAAGGCTAAGAAGTTACTCTGCGACAAAATACTTCCTGAGATGGCTGTAAGAGAAATAGTGGATTCTGATAATTCAGAAGTAGATAAGTCCACTAACATTGTCAATACTTCTGATGTTATTCTTTCCGAACCGGAAATAGCGGTACTTGCTCGGGGTTTAAACTTCTGTCCTGCCACTGGTGGCTTTTACGATTTCCAGCTGGCAAAGGATTTAAATAATTTGCACGTAACCTACGCTTAAGAGAATTCTTTCATGAACAGCCACCTTCTTCGCACATGCCATCCCGCGAGCACTGGACGCCTCCAACACAACGTGACAAGTTTCTGGATCTCTACATCTCAGCAGTACAAGGCGACATTCTGGAGGCCTATAAAACACCCACGTCCTTTGAACATAAGCTGTCCATTTTAGAGAAGAAAGCCCTCCATAAGCTGCAAGATCGCGAAAACATAATTATCAAGCCAGCTGATAAAGTTGGCGCTGTAGTAATAATGAATAAGTCTGATTATACTACTGAGATTCAAAGACAGCTGAGCGATATCCATTTCTTTAAGCGCCTTGATGACGATCCGACAGAGCAGTTGAAGGACATGGTTTCGAATACCATAAAAGACTTTGTAAAAGAAGACAAAATCAGCGAGAGATCTATACGGTCCTTAATCCCCCTTAGCCCCCATCCCAGGGCGATTTTATATCCTGCCAAAAATACACAAAGTAAATAATCCTGGCCGACCTATTGTTTCCGCTATTGACACCGTCACTGAAACAGTGTCTGGAGTCACTGATAATCTCATTAAGGATATCCCACCCACTTTCAATTCATATCTGAAAGATACAAACCATTTCTTGCTCGACATCATTGACCTTGATGTGCCCCTTGGTTCATTGCTTGTGACGCTAGACGTAGCCTCACTCTATACCAACATCCCTCATATTGATGGCATTCAAGCAGTATTGAATGCTTATGAAGAAAAAGTTTCCAACAAAACGGTGGACAGCAACACACTAGCGCGGTTACTAGAACTAATCCTGACATTGAACAATCTTGAATTTGACGGTGTGCATTAGGTTCATGTTAGTTGCCCTTCAATGGGTACGAAAATTGGACCAAGCTATGCAAATATCTTTATGGGCCAACTCGAAGATAAATTCTTAGACGCATGCAGTCTCAAATCGTTTTATTATACACGTTATATTGACGGCGTCTTTCTGATCTGGCAGCACGGAGAGACAGAACTTCTGTCGTTCATTGCAGACTTCAACAAGGCTCATTCCACCATCTCTTTTTCGGAATCCTACTCAAGCACAGCAATAAATTTTCTTGACGTCACAGTTACTGTACGTGCTAATAAAGTGATGACTAAACTCTTTAGAAAACATACGGATAGGCAGTCATACCTACATTTCAATAGTTCACATCCGAAGCACTGCAAAACGGCAATCCCATATGGTCAAGCACTGCGTTTTAAGAAAATATGTTCGAAGAATTCAGATTTTACAGACAACTGCACCAACTTTTCGGGAGGCCCTAAAGAAACAAAAATATCCACCACAAATCATTACTGATGCTATTAAATGGGCCAGAGGACATTGACCGTAAGGAACCTTTTATTCGGAAGAAGCAGGCCGCACCCTCAAGCACGAGTTTGGTTATAACACACTCCGCATCAGCACTAAACATCAACAGCATTCTTCAGAAGCATCACAACATACTAATACAGAGCGATCACCTTAAAAAAAATCTTTCCTAATCTCCCGCGTGTTGTATATCGCAGATCGAAGAACTTACGCGACATACTAACCTCATCAAGGATTACCGCAACCACATTTTCTGGTTGTCATCCATGCGAAAAAACCCCGTTTGCAAAGTTTTTAACCATAGGACGAATACCACTTTGGTTAAGAGTACATCATCAAACTTTCATCTAAAAATTAAAGGGGATTTTGACTGCGACACAAGCAACATTGTGTACATGCTTGAATGCTCTGTGTGCAAACTCCAATACATCGAATACACTGAAACGCCTTTTAGACTGCGCTTTAATAACCATAAGCCGCATGTCACAAGCCTACCCAATCTACCTTTGTCTAAGCACGTTAACATTCCTGGTCACTTATTCAATAAACTAAGAGCTACTATACTGGAATCAGGTTTCCCTACACACTATGGTAGGGAACTGCGCGAGTCATTTCCGATACACAAGTTCAATCCGATGTTATCCGGTATAAATGAAGATTTAGGCAAACTGACGTTTCTTTCGGCGCAGAACTAAGTTATAGTTTTTTAAAAATCACAGTCTGTTCATAATCACTCTACACGCAGATTTTTACTACACCTTTCACGGTGCAGTGAATTTTTGACTTTGTCTTATCAATTCTGTTTGTGCCCCATGAAATTCTTAGTTACGCATCTTGTTCAATTTGAACGTTTTCTGCTATACTTTTTTGTCTTTTCTGAGCGTGATTTTGCTGTATGTGTTTGATAGTTTTGTTTGTAGATAATACGGTACTTTTCAAACTGCTATTCATTTGATCTACTTGATGTAAACACCGTTCATGCTTCTCATAATCTTTCTTGACATTGCTTTGACATTCTCTGCTGTTCATTACTCACCACGTAACAGTAGATAGTGTATGATAGTGATAGTTCACGTGTCAGGGGCCCTTGATATACCATGCCTACATAAGAAAAGCGCATTTTTGTATCGTGTTTTCCCTGATGATGGCCGGTCCCCCGGCTGAAACGTAGGAAAAATAAAAAGTTTTGGTTTTGTCCATTCTCCACTTTTTGGTATTTTTCGGACCCCTTCTTTTCATATATATATATATATATATATATTATGACGACTCGTTTGTAACGAGATTTATTGGTCGT